TATAATATATATCTATATATTATAGATATATATTATAGGTATATAATATATATCTATAATATATAGATATATATTATAGATATAGATATGTTTTTATCTATGCATGTATGTATATATGTATGTATATAATATATATATATATAGATCTTGATCATTACTAAAATTACAGTAAGTAAGTCCTCTGCTTAACTAGGAAAAAACTGCTGATTGTAACTTTTTTTGCATTTGATGACTGATGGCAACTAGATGACTACTGGCAACCAGTAGGTGATGGCAACTAGTTGCCATCACCTACTGGTTGCCTGTTGATTGCACAGGTCACCTGGTAGGAGGCAACAATCGTGGTCCAACTGAGGCTCACTGCAGACTCTCAGACAGACATGCTGCACTCTGCAGAGTCCATCTGCAACTCGACTGGTTGCCTGCTGGTTATAATCTGCTTATGTTCCTATATAAAAACATATCTATATCTATATATATATATATAAACAAGATCCACGTCATGCTGCAGATAATCTCTCTGAGAAAGCAGCAGCGCTGCCAACCGAGCCACCCAGACACCAAACTTTATGTATTCTTTTAACTCTTGAGATGTTTCTAGATGAATCTTTCAGCTGTTCATTTGCCCTCTCATGTTTGCATGCTGTGCATTTTGGTCCAAAAAGCTTCTTCCTCTGGTTTTTGTGACTCATTCTTGCAGCCATCTTGTTCTAAACTAAGATCTCCAGTAAACATGAATGAACTGGTTCATTTTATGCACAGCATGTGTCTCATTAGAAGACAGGCCCCATCAGTACGAGGGAAGCCATCGTTGCGATCGGTTAAAGGAACATGATAACCTACTGCAGGTGTGACACTGGGCTGCATGTATTTGAAAGAAATGAAGCTAAAACAGATTCATTATGTTCAATTCTTTTAAAAACGACTCATTTTTCTTTGAGGCTGATATTTCTCCAGATCGTGATTCAGTGGATGAAGCTCGTGACGTGTCAGCCGCCTCATCAGTCTGGAGCTCATAATCGTATCACGAGGAGGGCCAAGAGGTGTGTCCAGGGTTCAAGTGTCTCATGAATATATTCTGGCTTTGAATGCCCACGATGAGACCTGCCACACAGGATGATAGAGGACTGTAACAGCTGTAGGAAACAGCCGATGGAAACGTCTTTCAAAAGGACTCTTTTTGTATTCCTCATTAGCAGACTGTCTTTGACACC